GCAGCCAGAGTTTTCCCCTTGCCATGAGCACTGCCAGAACTGATGGGCCTCAGAGGGAGCTAGCCGGGTGCCTGTACTTGTGTCGCTTCTTAGCAGCATTGGAGATCAACCTGTACTACAGTCAGTGGAGGATTTAATTAGTGCCTGATATGACTGCTGCTTCTGTCTAATAAGTGCCAGGTTCACTCTGCCACCTCTGCTTGGGCATGTGTGTTGAGAGCCAGTACCTCTGGCATTGCTGCTCCCTCCAGGTGAAATGAGCCAGTGACTGGAAAAATAGCCTCATTCTTAGCTCTTTTAAGAGGTGGGGGATGCTGTGTGCGCCTAATGTGCTCCCTAGCCTGGTGCAACACATGGATCTGTTGTTCCTTCTGCTCTAATGCTGCATTCCTGTTTGTGCTCTTGTCCGATAGCTCTAGGGTTGACAGAGAAGCTGGTGAAACTGAACTCTGGTGGGAACGCCAAGCTGGTGAGCATGGGGAAGAGCCTGCAGGCCGAGATGGAGACCTTACTGGGGCCAGATGGGGTGCTCCTGTACCCCTCTCATCCCACTGTGGCTCCCAAGCATCACTCTCCCCTGTGCATGCCCTTCAACTTTGCCTACACAGGTGAGCTGCCTTGGGCCCAAGAGAGGGGTCCCACACGTAACCTTACCAATCCCAAGAGTGCGTCCGGGGCAGCGTGCCCTGTCTCACTGCCCTGCGAGCGAAACAGGTGGCAGTGACAGTCTGCGTAGAGTTTTGTGATGCCCAGTGCTGGTGCCAGCAACAGCCAGGCTCTTGGGTGACTCTCAGTCATTTCATGGCCCCCTTGGGTTGCAAGGGGAGCTCTCTGGAGCCCTGGTGCCTACAAAGCCGTAGGTGGGGAGACCTGTTGAGCGCCTCAATAGCAGACTTCCCGTAGCAGCTACATGTTCACTGCTCCAGAAATCAGACAAGAATTATTGTCATGCTTTAAAACTGTGTGTCTTTTGCAGCTGCTCTCTGCAGGTTGGATTGCTGTGGCTTAGCTCTAACGGGGCCGCCCTTACAGAGAAACCTGGCCTTGCTTCTTTGGTACACCCTGTTCTGAAGGCATGTGCGAAGCCGCTGGAGCTGGCATTTTAGCAGCGTCCAAGGGCTGCCACGTGTCCTGAGGAACTGGGATTGACAGTCTGGAGCTCTTTATGTGGCTTTGCTGGCTCTCGAGCTCCGTGATGCCAGCACCACACTGCAGTGCTGCCTGGCTTTGGGGTTACGTAGGTATGGCCAGCAGCAGCTTCTTGTTGCCATGTTATTTGACTGCTGCCAGGGAGAGGCCCTGCTCCCAGGAGCCGGAGCTGTGTGGGACAGTAGTTAACGATGGGGTGGGAGAACTTTCCCTGAGGAGTCAGGGGGTGACTTACCTCGTCCGTGACTGATTCCTGTGCCCAGGGTCTGCTCTGATGCAGCTTTTCTCTTGCAGCTATCTTCAACGTCTTGGGCTTGCCGGTGACGCAGTGCCCGCTAGGTCTGAGCAGCGAGGGGCTGCCACTGGGCATCCAGCTGGTTGCAGGGGCCTACAACGACCACCTGACCCTGGCAGTAGCCCGCTATCTGGAGAAGGCCTTCGGAGGATGGGTATTCCCTGGAAAAGCCTAGCGTGTGTTCCCAGGACACCGAGGAGGAAGAGACAGAGACAGTTGTGTTCACAGAGGCTGCCTACAGGTTGCGACACCCAATACTGTCGCAGGACTATCTGCTCCCTCGCCCAGGGAGAAGCTGGCCAGCACCGTGTCCATCTACCCTGTGAGCAGTGCGGGGAGCTGGGGAAATCCCTCTGTTCCCGTTGGAGCTGGCTTCTCCCCACAGCACCATCTGTGAGGGGAGAGACCTGTCCTCCCTGTGGTCCCTCAGGAGCCCCTGATGCCCTATGCTCTGAGCAGACAGCCCATGTCCTGGCTGGGGCAAGCACTGATGTTTCTCTAGGCACAGAGACCACTCTTTCTCTGTAACGCTTGCTGCTTTAAGGATGCAGGGTGAAGGCTAGAGAGAAGGGGCTGGCAGGGGCCTGCGTCCTGCTGGGCTGCTTGGGGACCACCTCCCAGCAGTGTGCTGAGACGCTCTTGCGCACATTCATCCTTTCTTCTCTGTGTCTCCCTACTCTGTGGCTGAGGTTGCCTGCCAGTGGCCTTCTTGCACCCGAGGCTTGCTGGCCCCTGCAGTCCCACTGCACTTACAGAACGCGAATGGGTTTTCCTCCCATACCCATGGAGGAGAAGGGCTGCTCATGCTGAAAAGAGCTGTTGGCAGCTTTATGATCTCTCTCGCTGCAGCTCTTTCACGGGGTGAACAGCATGCTTGGCTCTGCTCTTTGTGCTCTACCTTGAGTGGAGCTAATGGGCAAGGGAGGAAGAGCTTTTCCGAGAGGGAGCTGGTCTTGTAAGCAAGGGAGTAAGAAGTTTTTGGGGAGACAGGTGGGCTTTAAAGCCTTTGACAGCACTGGTAGATCTGTGTGCTGAGATGGCTAAAGCATCTCCTGCCCAGTTTTTTCATCCCCTTCCTCTGCAACAGGATGGATGTTTGGGGTCACCCAGCTTGATGGGCTTCCCCTGCTCCTGCACCCAACCTCCTGAGGTGTCGGCAGCTCCTGACTTCTGCTGTCCGGCCTCTCTCTCCCCCCTATAAATGGACATACGTAGAATTGCGACCTGGCCATCCCGGGGGGGTGCGTGAATGTGTGCAAGGTGTACATAGTGAAGATGGTATTAAAGAGTCTATCCGTCCAGCCTGCTGCCCTCTCTGTGTCCTTGTTCTTGAAGAGCTGTGCTGCGGCCGTGCTGCCCTGCGTGTGCTGCATGTCCTGGGACCCTGCTGGCGCCGCTGCTGTCTGTTCTCGTGCTCTGGAGCACGTTGAGGCTTTTCCTGCCAGCCAGGCATGGAGTATGGGCTGCCCAAGGAACCCAAGTTAGGGTGCTGTTGCTTCTCAGCCTGCTGCAGCATTATGGTTTTAGAAAACTTAATTTCTGGTACTTCTGCACTCCTTGTTGGGCTGCTGCACTGCTGCCTCTTTTCAGCAACGCTTGGCCTCCCAAGGCATTGCTGAGCCATGCACGTGTTTCTTCTGGTTCTGCTGAAGCAGTTGTCCCTAGGGCAAAGCAGCAGTGCAGCTGAGCAGATTGGAGACTGCAAAAGCTGTGGCTGTGCAAGGCTGCCTCTGGCCAGAGGTGAGGACCAGAGTGCGGTGGTCACTTTGTGAGGCCCATCCAGAAGACCTCAGCAGGTCTGTGCATGCAGCTTGGGATGCTGATGTTCAAGAGGATAAAACCTGTTCTCAGGAGGACATTGGATTTCTAAAGGCCACAGCTGTGCTGCCACGTATGGACTGGCACAGGGTAGTCCCGATAGATGCCCAGATGTTTGGCTGAGCTGTTGTGTTCTGTTCTCAGGACTGTGGCTCTCTGGCCAAGGGAGTCCACTTCGTAGTAAAAGTGGAAGCAGCCAACTCGTGTTCAAGTGAAGCTATGTCTTTCACTGCTTGCAGAGGGCACTGCTGAGCCCTCTAAGAGAGCACCGAGCCTGGTGGAAGTCGGTAATGAGATGACACAGCCAACAAGGAAGCAAGAAAAAAAAAGCAGATAGACTCAGGAAAAATATGAACCACCAAAGTAAAATCACGTGTTGTGCTGTGAGCAGGTGAGTGGGACGTCCCTTGCAGCCCTCTGGGAACAGTCTGGCTGCGCAGCGGGTGGCAAGACAACACCAACCTCTTCGCAGGTAAGGAAGAAGGAGAAGGGCAGGCAGCAGGAGGGGGCCGTGCTGCAGGTACAGACATCCCTGCTGCAGCGTGGTGGAGGGAAGCGCCCCGCGCAGTGGGCTGGCACATGGCCTTGGGAAGTCCAGGATGGTGGGGCAAAGAAGCTGGAAGTGATGCATTCAGTGAGGTAGTGGTCTTGTTGTTAGCTCAAAACTGACTCTGCTAGGCTGGTTTGGGTCTATCCAGCCCCATGTCCTGTCTCAGTACAATCTGTGGCAGGTGCCTCGAGGGAGCTAGGAGCCAGGCTTGTAGCTGATGACACTTCTGCTGAATGCTCTCGAGGCCTCTGAAACCTGCCTCTAGATTCCAGAGCTGAAGGGCCTCCTCTGTGTTTAACAGACCATGGTGGGCTCAGATTGCGTCGCTGTGTTCGCTGTTAACACGTGGCCAAAACAAATAGCTGCTGGCTGAAAGGAGGAGAGAGCCATTACACTTCTGCATAGCGGGGCAATGCGGGGGAAGCTGCTGAAAGAAGGGATGTGGGAAGGAGAGGGGGGTTAATCCCTGCGCTTCAGCCTACGGCCCCAGCCAGCACCCGAGCCCTCCAGGCAGTGAGCTTGGCGGCCTGCCCGCCGCGTGCGGCCCTGCGCGCCGGCACCCGGCTGCTTCCTGCTGCGGGGCGCGGGGTCAACACCCGGCCTGTGTCACCGCCTGCTGCTCCTTGGCTTCAGCTCCGCGCACAACAACAACATCGACCTGCAAGTGCTGCTGTTGTGGAGTCTGTGCAAGATGGGGAGAGCAGGGGGCACTGGGACTGAGCCCAACGGGTGTCCCGTCTGGTGTAGGACCCTTCTGCCTCTGGAAATGGCCTTGGGCCCCCCTCAGTTGCTGGAGGAAATGCGTCTCCATGATCAAGGAAGTCCAAATTGACAACCACAAGCAAAGCCCTTGCCCAGCCCTTACAAGAGAGCAAGATACCTCCGTGCCACCTGGAAATGTCTTCATCAGCTGGGAAGAGAGCAGTGAAAATTGGACAGGAGCTGGGCTGAAGCGAGGTGAAGATAAGGAGTTACTGCCCCGGTTTTGGAGACAGGATTTAATATTTATCGTTATATACCGATACCTAACGGAGAAGGGTATGAGGAAAAAGACGTGCTGTAGCGTGGCCCCCACATCACTTCTCGGCTCGTGCAGTGCTGGGCTGTGACAGAGCAGCCCAGTCCTGGGGCTCTCTGGGGCTTGCGCAGAGCGAGGCCTCCTTCCCCCGTGCGGCCACTGCCTCGGCAGTGAGTCACCCCGCAGCTGCCCAGCCCCAGCGAGGGGGTAGCTGAGCAGGGGTGAGTCACCCCCAGGCTGGTGTGAACCTTCAGCCCTGAGCTTTCTCTGACAAAAAACACACACGCGCGAGTCATACTCGGGGCACAGTGGTACCTCCACCGCTATGGAAAGGGCACAGCATCGCCTCTTGCAGCCATGGCCTTGGGAAAATATTTTTTCTCTAATCTCAGGTTCTGCTCATCCGTTGTGCCTCTGGGTGCCAAAGCAGCTAAGACAACCCACAGCTCCCACCATGGGGTCTGGCATGCTGGTGTAGAGCTGGAGACAGATGGACCTGGCATGGTGGGAACATGAGAGCTGAACTGAGTCTGCTTCTGTCTCTCACCAGCTTCACCCTGCTCTGTGGTAAGTCCAGCTCAGGAATAGCTTTAATTGGGCCAGAGGAAGCGGGTAAAATCCTAACTGCCTCACTGCAGCCTTGGCTTGCAAGGTCTGCATGGAGGAGAAAGCATGGGGACAGCTCTCAGAACTGCAAAAGGAGGAGGGGAACAGACATGGAGCAAATCAGCTGGACTTCTCTGTGGTTTTGGAACCTCCAAGGAAAGATGATCTACCTCAAGGGGCTGAAAGAGGTGTGGGGAGTAAGCTACTTCCCAGCCCTGTGGTTCATGTCCTTGGAGGAGCTGTCAGTGCCTTTCCGGGGGCTGCATTTGAAATACTCCAAAGTGCGTTGAGTCAGGAGAGAGACTCCCGAAACATAGATACCAAGAGCCATGCTTCCAGCCAGCCCTTGCTGAGAGCACCAGGGAGCTGGTATTCACCGGTGCAGGACTGAAGTCATGGGGTTGTTGGGTGTCCCCACATCCTCACAGCGACTGCACAAAGCCGTGACACCTGCACAACATAGCTGTGAGCTGGGTTAATGTGGGACAGCGGGGGCTGGCAGAGGAGGAATGGACCAGCCAACAGCACCCGCTTGGACACAAACAGGTCCTGCTTAAGCGGCAGAGGTTGAGCATGTATCTCCCTGCAGGCCCTCCTGGAGCAGAGCAATGTTACCCTTCTTTGCCCTCATGTCCCTTTCCCCTGCTTCCCAGGCATGCCTTTTCCTCCCCAGAATGTGACACTAATGGCCAAGAACTTCCACGCTTGCTTGACATGGGAGCCGGACCCTCGTTCGCCCAGCAGTGCCAGGTACCAGGTGGAGTGCAACAGCCGGTATGTATGAAACTGGGGAGAAAGGGAAGGGGGTGTTTTTGGCCCCACTGCCTTCAAGCCCTGGTTTGCCCACCTCCCTATGCCTTTCTTGCTGCCTGGATGTGCTCGCTGGCTGGTCACCTGCTACGTATGGGTGATTACCCTCCAAGGCCGGAGCATCCTAGCAGAGGGCTGTGGCAGAAGGAAGTTGGGGACCCTCTGGGAGTCAGAGAACTGTTTTTCTAAAGTAAATTGTGTAGAATAACAGAAGTTTTGAGGTTAGAAGGAACCTCTGGTTATCATTTAACTCATGCAGGACCACCTTCAGCAGGTTGCTCAGGACTATTTCTAGTCAGGTGTCGAGTATGCCCAAAGATAGAGACTCCATAATCTGCCCAGGCAACCTATTCCTTTATTTGACCACCTTCATAGCAAAAAAAAAAAAAAAAAAAAAACCCTTACATTTAAATGAAATTTCCTATGTTTCAGT